GATTTTGGCCTTCCACCTGCTCCCAAACCCTGACAGCAAAGCCTGTGAATGATTGTGGCAGCTGTAATCCAGACTTCCTTGTATAGCGAGGTCGAGAATCGTCAGATATGGGATTTGCAGAATATCGGTTGCACGCTTTTCTTAATAAAGCGAGACACGCCTCTGGTGAGGTTAGAAACCCCCTGGAGGAGTGTGGGGGAAATGGCAAAACGGGGACGAAGCCAAAAGCACGCAGGGAGCGACGTGCCCCCGCTATTTCATTGGTTTCCGTTGCCTGCAACTCTCGGACCAAGCAGGGTTAGGATCGCGCTGATTGGAGCTTGCTCGGTCGAAGGATCTGTGGCGTTCTCTAGCGAGAGGCGGAGATAACGAAGAACTTTCCCGGAAAGCTTACTTTCGCTTTTGCTTTAGGGAAGAGCGGCGCGCAGTTTCCCATCTGTAAAGGCAGGTAAGTTTTCTGAGATACTTTTATTTCTTTGCTTATAGCAAAGGTTAGTCCGTGTCCTGTCGTTTTTTCACTCTCGAGTTTTGAATCTTTAAAGAACCAAAAGCACATTTCTTTTCTTTTATTGCTGTGTTTGTTGTACTTCTCTGCTTGGATCACTAGCGTCCTGTCTCCCAAATCACAGCTGACAGCTTTCTTCTTCTAGTACTTGAGGTCCCTTCCATAAATTATGCTAAGTCTTCTTGCTCCCTACCTGGGAGGATGAGTCTATATTTCCAGACAGTGTTGATGGAGATGATTGTACTATATGTAGTCCAACATTCTTGAATCCAGGCTAATTGGAAAAGGGAGTTCTGTATCAAAAAGCATTGCTACAAATCTTCTAAGGATTTTTCACATAGTGACCTCCATAGTGATATCCATAATGATATCAGAGATCCTATCAAATGAGCCAAAATCCCCATTCATATAATAAAATAAAAATAAAAAAGGATTGGAGAGGTCTCAAAAAACAAGTCCCAACAAAACTAAGCCAGACTATTCTGATTAACCATGATATAAATACAGCTTCAGAAAGTAAACCATGGTTTTATAGTAGTAAACTNAAGATGTTCCATAGAACAGGGGACACTGTAGAAAAAGTTCATCTTCCAGTTCCCATCAGTCTATACTCTTTGGCTGATATGATCTTGGTTGGATGGGTAAACTTCGAGAAAGGAGATCCTTCCGATTGCAACTTGAAACATTTGTAGTCAAAACAAGACCAAGAATGGTTCCTGGACACCAATTGTCAGAGATGGCGGAGGCTATGGCCTGCCATATAAAAATAAAGATTGTAAAAGCAGGAGGGAGGAAAAAAAGAGGATGTGAAATTCTAAGCCGCCCAGAGTCATTGATTGAAATGGGTGGCTACAGAAATAGAATAAACAAACAAATATATAAAGGTGTTTTTTTTCTCACTAATTGTTCCTGTCTTCATTAAACATCTGTACCAGCAGAAATCAGAGTGTAGTTATTTAATCACCCAAATTTCATTTTAAACAGTACACTCACATGGACATTGTGCCTGCTGAAAGATTGAGTTCACCCAGTTCTTCAAACTATCCATATATTCTTATAGGATACCTGATCTTTGGCCAATTTTAACATATGGCTGATGGTCTATTCCAACAACAGGGGAGCAAATATATGCCCGGAACAGATTATCCACCCCAGCTATAATTTCAAACACTGTATGCACCATCTGTTATTGGTTTAGGCAAGCTGAACATACTTATACATAGACATGCAACCCTAAGATCTATTATAGGTCAAAGATGGCATTTTTCACCGGCAAGGTTGGCAAATACATTTAAAGATAGATCAGCAAAATGTTGGAAATGCCACAGGAAACGGGGGTGGTTGTGTGGGGTTATATTAGCATATGTGGTGGACATGCATAAAAGGCAAAAATATTAGATAAAAAATATTTGATAATTCATGTAATAACCGCAGCTAGAATTGTATTTGCACAAAATTAGAAAAACGTGATAGATTTTGGCCTTCCACCTGCTCCCAAACCCTGACAGCAAAGCCTGTGAATGATTGTGGCAGCTGTAATCCAGACTTCCTTGTATAGCGAGGTNGGAAAGTTCAGTTTTATCCTCCATTAGTCATTGACAATGATGGGCTAAGAATGATGGGAGCAGAATCCACTAACCTAAGAAAGACAATTTTATAAACTGTGGTTGATTTCTCATACCATTTTAGAAATGGATTATAATTACTGAAATAAGATTTACGGAATAAGCTATTCACACAATGTTTAGCCATAAACCTGTCAATTAGCGTCAACTGGTGCATAAATTGAATTAAATAAATAAACCAATATTTATAAAGCAAAATAATCTATGTTCATCGATTTCAAACCAAAGTTTGTTTTACTCAAAAATTTAATATGAATGATGATTCATTCCATTAATTCAAGCTTTACAGAACTCTGGTTTCAATGTCTCAGAGAAGATGTCCAAAGATAGTTATTATATAATTTATTTGAGTTTGGCTTAGCATCCTGTGTGAAGTTACAGTTTAGCATTTGCAAACCTATACTTTGGTTAAACAGGGACCTGCCACAGAAAGTAAATGGTGGTGCTAAGGCCATACTAATCTGGTTTGGAAGCTAAGCATGCCATGTGAAGAGCTAATATCTAAGGAATCTCTGGAGTTTCGATCTGTTTTCTTAGTACAGTCAGTCCTTTTAATTCAATAATTATTGTAATTTGATGGTATTTTTCTCTCCTGCTATAGGTTGTTTCTGTAATCTTAATCTTGTGGGTTTTATTCTTTCCTGGTACATAGTTGCCTTCTAAAACCAATGCTTCAGTATCAAAAAGAGCTGATGCACTTTCTCATATACGTACATTTCAAATTCACAATCATACCATGTTTTTATAATAGGACTGGGAAGACTCCAAGAGGCTCTCAAAACTCTGCAGGGACTTTATAAATTTATGGGGCTATGACACACCAGGGCTAGCCCAAAAATTGTTGTTTTAGACCAAAACTGGTCTTAAAGACCAGATGGCAACTTCCTCCATTCCAGATACAGAGGTTGGCGAAACTGAATCTTAATTTAGTGCTGGAAAAAGAGGAAGTCCAAAACACAAGAGAAAAGGACATAGTCCAATGTGTTCTTTAATTTAGCTATATTACAGTTGTAAAAAAGAAGAAAAAAGGATGATAAACATCAAGGTGGATGCACTTGATTAGAATGGGAATGGCTACATCATTGGAAGAGCTCAAGATTCAAACTGGGAACAGATCATCCTGGAAAAGATTTATGAAACTACTAAGAATCAACACCATCTTGACGTCAATAGTTTAAAAAACAAGGAAGTAGTGGGCAAAACAAACCTGGGAATCCAGAAGGCTCTCTTTATTTTTTAAACCATATTATAGATATATTAGATTACTCAGGACTTTTATATGCTGTATCAACATTCTAACAGCACACAGGGCCAATTTTCAACAATTGCAGTAAGGACTCTACAAAACAAAGATCAAAGATCACAAGCAAATCAGATCCGAAATGTCAGGCTGTCCATCCCAACTTTGTATAGTATACTGGTTTAGGTGCAATAAACTATGGTTTGATTAACCATAACTTTCAGAAACACACAGACTGAATTTGCACAATTGTTAGCCTACATATGGTTTCGTTATGGCTTTAAATATTCTATGAACTATTCTCCAATTAAATTTCCTTACAGTGCCAAAACTAAACAAATTTTACTAACTGTCCTTCTTTTGGTGACATGTGTGAAACCTAATTCTATCACACATCTGTACAAATTGTTAGGAACATTTGATTATGGGAGACCAGCTTTCATCTAGCATTCTTACACAATGGTGTAATACTTTAGCATCATTAAGGATCCCAAAGGCTTTGGAATGTCTACATACCATTCTCTCCATGGACCAAAATGCAGACATGGCATGGCAAGTTTCATCACTCATGTCCATCTTATCTCCAGCCCATTCATTAGTAAGGTTCAAATCAGATTTAGTTAAAGTAGGATTTTCTACGTGCAGGATTTTGTATTCAAGGAAGAAAACATGTCAGCAAAATTATTGTATGCCTAACAGTTAAAAATTTAGACTCTTCACAAAACGGGGGAGTGGTTGATGAAGATGCTGGAACTTGCAAAGATGGCTAAATTAACTTCTTTGATTAAATTTGATAAGAGAAAGAAGTAGGAATTTTATAATCAAAAAGGGATAACTTTGTAATCATACTTTGCTGCAAAGGAAATCAGAAGTTTCTTGATTCTTTTTCTTCTTTATCCTTTCCACACTTTTAATTTTTCTCTCTCTCCTTGTTCTGCTTAATCTGCATTCATTTCTGTTAATGTTTATGTTCTCTTTTTTTGTTAAAACAATTTATATTTTTAAAAAGATGTAAGGATAGGCATGATGACAGCATCTGTCCGCAACTCCATAAAACTAAAAGTGGATTTTCCTGGGATTGCACTGCAGCAAATCATGCCATTCTGCAAATGAGGCCATTGCTTTAACAAGTGGATGACAGACACAGCCTGAGCATCCCGGTCTACTCCCTCTCCTTTCAAAACCAATGTTGCACAAAGCTAGTATTTTTTTTTCCTTATTCTGTCACAATCTACGTGCAATCTCAAAATGAGTAAATGTGCTTACTTAAGGAATCAAAAAGGCAATTGCAGTATGGGAACATGGTCAGGTTTTTAGGCCTACAAAAGGCTAACAGGATTGGGACCATTCTAATTTTTGAACAGAAGATGTTCCATAGAACAGGGGACACTGTAGAAAAAGTTCATCTTCCAGTTCCCATCAGTCTATACTCTTTGGCTGATATGATCGGCAACATGTCCGTCCTGGTTGGATGGGTAGACTCTTCGAGAAAGGAGATCCTTCCGATTGCAACTTGAAACATTTGTAGTCAAAACAAGACCAAGAATGGTTCCTGGACACCAATTGTCACAGTGACTCAGAGATGACGGAGGCTATGGCCTGCCATATAAAAATAAAGATTGTAAAAGCAGGAGGGAGGAAAAAAAGAGGATGTGAAATTCTAAGCCGCCCAGAGTCATTGATTGAAATGGGTGGCTACAGAAATAGAATAAACAAACAAATATATAAAGGTGTTTTTTTTCTCACTAATTGTTCCTGTCTTCATTAAACATCTGTACCAGCAGAAATCAGGGTGTAGTTATTTAAGCACCCAAATTTCATTTTAAACAGTAAACTCACATGGATATTGTGCCTGCTGAAAGATTGAGTTCACCCAGTTCTTCAAACTATCCATATATTCTTATAGGATACCTGATCTTTGGCCAATTTTAACATATGGCTGATGGTCTATTCCAACAACAGGGGAGCAAATATATGCCCGGAACAGATTATCCACCCCAGCTATAATTTCAAACACTGTATGCATCATCTGTTATTGGTGTAGGCAAGAGGAACATACTTATACATAGACATGCAACCCTAAGATCTATTATAGGTCAAAGATGGCATTTTTCACCGGCAAGGTTGGCAAATACATTTAAAGATAGATCAGCAAAATGTTGGAAATGCCACAGGAAACGGGGGTGGTTGTGTGGGGTTATATTAGCATATGTGGTGGACATGCATAAAAGGCAAAAATATTAGATAAAAAATATTTGATAATTCATGTAATAACCGCAGCTAGAATTGTATTTGCACAAAATTAGAAAAACGTGATAGATTTTGGCCTTCCACCTGCTCCCAAACCCTGACAGCAAAGCCTGTGAATGATTGTGGCAGCTGTAATCCAGACTTCCTTGTATAGCGAGGTCGAGAATCGTCAGATATGGGATTTGCAGAATATCGGTTGCACGCTTTTCTTAATAAAGCGAGACACGCCATTGGTGAGATTGGAAACCCCCTGGAGGAGTGTGGGGGAAATGGCAAAACGGGGACGAAGCCAAAATCACACAGGGAGCGACGTGCCCCCGCTATTTCATTGGTTTCCGTTGCCTGCAACTCTCGGACCAAGCAGGGTTAGGATCGCGCTGATTGGAGCTTGCTCGGTCGAAGGATCTGTGGCGTTCTCTAGCGAGAGGCGGAGATAACGAAGAACTTTCCCGGAAAGCTTACTTTCGCTTTTGCTTTAGGGAAGAGCGGCGCGCAGTTTCCCATCTGTAAAGGCAGGTAAGTTTTCTGAGATACTTTTATTTCTTTGCTTATAGCAAAGGTTAGTCCGTGTCCTGTCGTTTTTTCACTCTCGAGTTTTGAATCTTTAAAGAACCAAAAGCACATTTCTTTTCTTTTATTGCTGTGTTTGTTGTACTTCTCTGCTTGGATCACTAGCGTCCTGTCTCCCAAATCACAGCTGACAGCTTTCTTCTTCTAGTACTTGAGGTCCCTTCCATAAATTATGCTAAGTCTTCTTGCTCCCTACCTGGGAGGATGAGTCTATATTTCCAGACAGTGTTGATGGAGATGATTGTACTATATATAGTCCAACATTCTTGAATCCAGGCTAATTGGAAAAGGGTGTTCTGTATCAAAAAGCATTGCTACAAATCTTCTAAGGATTTTTCACATAGTGACCTCCATAGTGATATCCATAATGATATCAGAGATCCTATCAAATGAGCCAAAATCCCCATTCATATAATAAAATAAAAATAAAAAAGGATTGGAGAGGTCTCAAAAAACAAGTCCCAACAAAACTAAGCCAGACTATTCTGATTAACCATGATATAAATACAGCTTCAGAAAGTAAACCATGGTTTTATAGTAGTAAACTGTCATTCTTTGTTAGTTATCTGATCATAGATATGGAAATAATGCTGTGATACGTTATTTCTTGCCTTATTTCTAGTTTGTTTTGTGCCCATCAAATCTCTAGTGAAATCATACAAATGAAAAATTTGAATGGTTTTAAATAAAACAATTTATATCTGAAATTATCCAGACATGCCTTAAGAAAATTACTCAGCTGAAAACTGCCAACATCTTTTCTGTCTTCTTCAATAAATTAATCAGAATTTTTAAAAAATAGGATTATCTTTTTTGTCTTCCTCAGTTGAAGTCTCTCAATATGTGGCCATCAGCTACACATAGATGTGGCTTCCTCACATCCTCTAATCTGCCAGGTAAATTGAGTATGATTACCGGTTAGTAAACAACCAGTTGTATTCTGTTTAAAAATGAAATTAAGGTGATTTCCAGCTGACAGTCTATTATGAAGCTTTGTAGATCAATTGGTGGCTGTGAGGTTTAGGAAGAGATATACAGTGCCTGCAATGAATTTGGTCTTAGTGTCTTTAGCATTTGCTCTGGACCAGGCCAGATTTTAAATTAAGCATTCTCTTTTTGTTATTTTCCACACCCCAGTGCCTTTGAAAAGCATTTCTGTGGATGTCATTATACGAGGTTTCGTAGCTGAC